GAGTAGATGTGTTTGTTGGTTAATTTATTTTTAAGAATTTTCTCAATGACAGTGAGGAGTGAGATAAGTGGATTGATTAGCGTTTTTAGATCATTAATAAAAGAAGATAAATGATCTGAAAAGACTTTGATAGTTGATCCGATTTTGTCCACTTAGATGCATTCTTTGCAGTGGTAGGTTGAGAAATTTTATAGTGAGGAAGGGTTGGAAAATTTTGAGTAGTTAATATTTTTTCAGTGTGAATTTCATCTGAATTTATATTTTGTGTGTAGTTGGTTTTAATGTTTGAGTTAAGAAGTGATTTTCTGAGTTTTAGTAGGCCTTTATGAAACTGACAGCCCTGTAGTTTGCTGTATGGGAGCCTCCACATAGAGCGTATTTGGATAGTTCATTTCGGGTTTTTTTACAAACAGAGGAGTCGTGATCTTCACTACAGTGAACACATCTGGGGTTGTGGTTTCAGTAACTACGGGTGTGGCCATAGAACTATTAGCGTTGGCATTGTGGGATTTCTTTTTTTGTGTGGAGACTTCTATATTTACTTTAGAATAGCAAAGAGAAGTGAGTTTGAATATTTCTTTATTCAGTTTAGTTTGCTCAAGGTCAACGAAGAAAAGGGGCAACGGTGTTTTGGAAGATCTGTGGAGAACATTAGTTATGTTTTTGACATGGTAACCTAGGTTAGTTAATTCGTCGGAGATATAAGCTCTATCAGTTAAAGGGTAGAGATTGCGGATGACAATTCTGAACGGTTTGTTTTCTTTTGAAAAATTGAATGACTGATTTGTATGAATCCGAGCTAAATGTTTGCAGTTTAACACCTTTCGTGGAGTTTTCGCATGAAAAACTAGATGCGTCGATGAGTTCTTTCATTTTGTGGCAAAAGGAATTGTAGTTTATTTGTGTTCGTATAATATAAATATTGATAGAGGTAGACTTTTTTTGTTGGTGATATTTTCTACGCTATGTTCATTAGCACTGTCCATGAGTACGGTTTCAGTCGTAGGAGAGATTGATGTGTACCTGTTTTCAGAGATAAATATACTCATATCAAATTTTTTTGGTTGGGGGACGTTATTAGACGATTTGATGCGTTCCCTGTAAATAGGGGAAATCTACAAAAAAATTAAAAATTACTAATTTTCGAAATTTTTTCATTTTTTTTACTTAAAACTTCCATAACTTTTTTAAAAATGAACAAATCAATATAATTTTTTTTTTATAAATGAATCATGCATCATAATAGATGCATTTAATATATTTTTTTTATAAATTTGATTCCTTACCTGCCACAGAGGGGAATTCAAAATGACAACTTTTTCACAATTAATTAATCTTTTCTACTTAACTTTTTAAAGTGTTTCGGGAATACTGACATTTTTATATATACCTTAAAATGAAGCTTGTGTGAATTACTTTAACATGAAAAAAAAAAAAATTTCGGACTTTATTTTATCTTCAAGGTGAAAATGGCTACAGTATGCTATTTTTGTGTTAAAATTCTCGATTTTATATTATACATTTTTAACTTTAAAATGCTATAATATATTGAAAAATGTATGGATCAATACAATTTTTTTATGAAAAATAATATTTATATACATCTTTCATTCGACATATTTTTTATTTAAATTGGACTATTTCTCNACGCATATTTCTCCCACTCTTTCCACATAGGCCACGCCTCTCACTTTCCCTATCGGGCTGAATCCCCTTTTTCACCCTACTAATATTAAAAAAAAAAANCGGGCTGAATCCCCTTTTTCACCCTACTAATATTAAAAAAAAAAAATTGTTTACTTTATTTTGTTTTCATGGTGAAAACAGTCATCAAAGTTAGTAAAAAAAATACGATTTTTGTAAAAAAATTCCTTTTCCTGTATTAACTTTATAACGCTATAATATGTTTAAAAAAAATGATGTTGATTTGGTTATTTTTAAGAAAGTTCCGGCAGTTTTTAGTAAAAAAAATTGAAAAAATTTCGAAAATTAGCAAATTTTAAATTTGTAATTTTTTTAGAGGTTTCCCCAATTTACGGGGAATGAGGGAAATTTAGTCAATTTTAGAGGGTAATATCTTCGACTATATACGATTTGTGATCTTTTGACGTATCTTTCAAAGAAATCCGTTCTGTGAGAGCTGAGAAAAAATGATAAAAAAAATTAAAAAAAAAAAACAAATAATAGTAAAATTAATGCCTTCTCATCTTCGCATCGAAGCTAAAATGTATGGATCATTATATTTTTTTAAAGATACAACTTATAAATATAAACTATATTCTGAGTACAACTTGTACTCAGAATATAAATAATGAAATAGGAGATCATGTTGCTTTTGGAATAATCCATTCATTTTTGAAAATTAAACACTATTTACAGATTCGAATCGAAACATTTTTTATGATAGTGATTTTAATCACTGTCAGATATCATCTATACTGGACCCATACTATGCCACTACCCCACTGTGACGCCTGTACTGGGTTTTTATATCTATGACTAGTGGTAATGTATTTTAAGTCGCATCCACCAGCACTGACAATCTACCTCTGATTGTACTATCAAAATATTAGTAACTCCAGACAACTAAATATAAAGTTACTTATGTATAACTTATAAGTTGATTTTTCGAAAGAATTTATAATAAACTGTTGTGCCCATATTGTATTTCATAATATTCAATGTTTAATAAAGCATCCATATAATGTAATTATACATTGTTGTCTAGACAAATTTAGTACTTTAAAATATAAAATTTAATTGGTGCTTTTAAAAAGGTATTTCTCATATACGTTTCCCATTACAAAAGTAATACTCGAGTAATACCAAGACTACACTTACATATTTACTGGCGCATCTAAACACGAAAACGGCTCGAGCATAGCTGCAGTGTTAGAAAACAGCAAAATAATATTTAAAACTCAAACAAACACTTGAAGCAATAGCTATATTAACACCAATTGACATGACCACAAAAAAACAAAACAAAAAATATATCATACTCAATGATTCACTTAGTGTAATGCATTCATTAAAAATAACTTTGCCGATGACGAATTAACACAGAGAATCCACAACAATCTTGTAATAGCGTCCGACCAAGGTAAAGAAATAGTTATCATGTGGCTACCAGGGCATTGTGGCATTAAAGGAAATGAAAAAGCAGACAGAACAGCTAAAAGTGCAATAAGTAATACTAGCGCAACAATAATTAAACTCACAATAAAAGACATGATATGCATGATAAAAGAAGACATAGCGAAAAAATGCAATTAAGATGGCAAAATAGAACATCCAAACTACATGAAATAAAACGATCTATAAAACCGTTGCCAAAACCCTTTTTACTTAAAAGAAATGAGGAAGTAAAAACCAACAGATTAAGAATAGGCCACACCTTACTCACCCACAAACACATACTGAACAAGACTGAGATACTCATCTGCGAAATGTGCAACACCGCCAATACTGTCAAACATTTATTAACAGAATGTCAATAATTTAATCACACAAGAGCAAACAACAACATGGATCACTCATTGGCTGAAATCTTGGGGCCAGACGAAAATGAACAGAAAAAAACAATCAGATTCCTCCACGAAACAAAATTGTATATAAAAATTTAATAGTAATGTAAATAAAAAAATAAAAAATGTAAAATGTAAGAAATATATTGTAAACACTTATAGCTAATGGCCATAGTTGCCGATGCTAAAAAGTGTAATAAAAAAATATTAATAAAATAAAGCTTAAGCGGTAACAAAAGCATCTACAAAAATACAAAAAATGTTTGTTTCACATGTAATATTCATTTTTTATTAGACAAACAACCAACTATTTATAACTATATTAGAGCATAATATAAATTAACTTCTCGAATATAATTATTAAAAATTATACTGTGGCAAATTACTGTATTTTTTTTATATCAAAATGAACTACGATTTGAATTTAATTTTATTTTTAATGGAAATTCAATTAGCTCAACAGATTTCAATGACAAAAGTAATGATTTAACATTTATATCGAGATAATAAGTAAATTCGAAAAAGAATCTTCATTTTCCCAATGGAATCTATTTAAAATATTTTTCTTTTCATATAAGTTTTATTTTATTATAGAAATGATTCTGATAATTTTTTTAATTTATTACTTCTCCATTTGTAAGTTTAAGTTTCTTTTATTTGATTTGAGAGTATAGGATACTGAGTTTTAAAATATTAAACGTAATAAAAAAAAAATATATTTTAATTAAATTATAATAATTTTGTAAATACAAATAAAAAGTATTGCACTTTCCTAGAAATAAAAAGATAATGTTTTTCAATTAATAAAAAAATAGTAATTATAATGTGTTTGCAAAATATTTTCATAAAAATTCACTAATTGTAAAATATTTAGTCATTTAGTAAATTTTGCTAATAGAGGATGACTCAGTTAAGAGAAGATATATACTCTGGATATGTTTATTTATTATTAATACAGAGGTATTTCTAAATTAAACAATTTATAATTTATGTTAAACACAATATCCAAAACTATATGGATTCAATAAATTGTTACATTATTAGTCATAAAATAATAATAATATATATTTTTTTATCTGTTTGATGTACTGATTAAATTTTCATTTTATTTTAGCGTCAAGAAAGAAATCTAAAATTTATCCAAATGATAAATGAAATACCAACACTTGAACCAAGTATAATTTCAAATGTTGAAGAATTAGTCAACTCTATTAAAACTAACAATGATTTTAATTTGACAACAATAGATGCTGTTGCTGAAAAGCTAAGGAAAATGAGATGTTCGTACTCTTTGCTAGCCCTTTATCTAATATATCACGTTGAATTAGACAAACATGACGAGCGCCAGTTGGATTACATTCAACTAGAAATATTCAGTGACATTTTACATCGTATTCTTTCTATATTTTATTACATACCGACCCCTGGTGTTCAAGGTATTTGGACGGCTTCAATAACTATTGATGCCTTATGTGCTGGAAAAATATTATATAATGAAATTGATTTTAATAAAATTCAAATTGAATTATTTACATATTGTTCTAAATGTTACAAAACTGTTCACTTACCAGAAGCACCATTAAAATTTTTTGATTATAAAAATAAAGGTTATACAGAAAAGTATGCTAATAAATTATCTGACAAATTGATATTGTCGCAATATGTTTACCCTGAATCATTTGACGATTTCTATAAATTTGCACAAAACACAAACATTTTCAGTTTTATTTGGAAAGATTCTCACAATAAGGATACATTCAAACCACCTATTACTCAATACGATACTTTTTTGCTTGACAGATCTTTCAATTATTTGATGAGCAATTGGAAAAACGACTATTTCAGTTTGATTCCATATACCTTCACTATAAGAAATAATGTGTTACTAGTTATGTACTATTCTATAGTACGACATTTTGTTTATATTATACAGATATATCATCAAGTTTATAATAATAAACATTGTAATGAAAATGAATTTTTGGAATTGTTTCAAATTCCATTGGAGATTTTGATAAAAATAGGTAAATTTATTGATTTTGATACAAATAAAAATTTTCAAGAAGTTATAGATATGTTGTCTACCACTGGTAATTTTATTAATATAGAGGATATAGAAAATTTAACTAAAGAAATGTTGAAAATATATGATTATTTTAGTTATAAATTCAATTCACTTTATTTAGATTATACTAAAATGAAATCCTCTTTAGTTATACAAATTCCATTTGATTTTTCAAAAACTAAAAATCAGTTGCAACGGTTCGCTAATGATATGAAGGACTACTATTTGAATGTAAAGCGTGAGATGTCACCAGTTAAATTTACCATATTAAAAGGGTTTCACCTGAAATGATAATTACTTGCTCTCGTATATTTTAATAAGATATTTATTTATACATAGTCGTTTATCATCTATTAATAATGTATTTCTATAATATAATTATTACCTTCAAATATTTTAATACTCTATAAAAATATCGTTTCTTATAAAATGTTCAACATTTTATTTATATAACGGTTAATATTGCACAACATTTTTGTATGACTGTTTTAATAAATTGTAATAACTGGTAACAAATAAGTAATAATTAATTAAAGTCTAAGTTGCGTTCTAGCATCGTTTTTTATTAAGTGATAACCGTAATAGTTATACCGCTGTTAATACATTTCTCCCCTTAGTACAAAAACATTTACTTCATTATTAGTAAAATACTAAACATAAACAATAGGAATGTAAATCCAATATAAAAATAAAAATCTTTAACATAAGACAGCCAAATCACAACAAAGCGATATGTATTATTGAACAGTACAATATAATACATAAATATTTTAATTTTCGTATCCATAAATTGCTGTAGTTAGGGTAATTAATTTATAAGTAATTGATACTGAAAATGAATTTAATATCACAGAATGTGTTTAATAAACTATAATATTATTTAATATAATAATAACAGTAGTTAAATTAACATGAAAATATCTTCATAAATTAATATTTCAAAATTACTCGTAGAAAAAATATCAACGTGACAGGTAGAAAGAAAAGATTATCAATACCATTGTTACAGTGACCGGTTCACGCTGTTCGTCGGCCACCCCGCATGGCGTGACTTGTTGGGCGTAAAGAGGAAGTGCTGCGATCGCTATCCTGTGGTAACACCAGAATTGCATTGTAACCGCGACATATTTCCCCAGTCTGACTGATCGGCCCTATAGAGTGTCTAGGGCAGTTGGTCTGTCTGCATGTTCTCTAGCCCTTCAATATCCGGAATGTTTATCGGATTTGCGTTAAGAATAGCATCCATGTCCGGCTCCACCTCCATCCGTTCTATCCTATCAGATATTATGAAGGGAAATAACGTCGGATCAGGTCGGTTGCCTTCCATGAAAACAGACTACGGCGACGGTCTCCAAACGTCTCTAAGACGCCCGAACTCCGTGCCGTCTTCCAACCATACTTCTTACGGACATTACCTCTGGCGTGATATTTGACTGGGCGGCTTTGCAGTTGTTTTTGGTGTGCCCTGGGGCGTAACAGCTTCGGTTCTTGAGCTCTTAATTAATCCGGTAATTGCGTAACAGTTCCGGAGTTTCGGAGAACGAATATGACCTTTCTCGTCGCGGATACTCTGTGCCGGTGAATTATTACCAGACTAGTTAATGAGGCGTGCGGACATTCAAGTTGCAGATGAGCCGGTTACTGAAGACGCTGTGTGTATCTTACTCGTGCTCGCCGTCCCGATGTCTTCGGCATTCCACTGCCCCTGAGCTTCGAATACTGTCTTCTTTATATATTTAATATAACAGTATATCTTTAATACTTCTTTCTTGTATATGGCCCAGAAATGCGGGTTGAAACGGATCTCCCATAACTTCGCCTGTCTAGTCCTCTTAACCGTCTATTCTGCTTGAACTTCGTCGGCGGGTTCCCACAATAGGTTAAATATCTCTCCTCTTATTATCCTCATTACGCTTCGTATCATCACGGCGACTTCGGTCGTGGCGGCCCGTGATAATCGATGGGTCGGTTTTGGGCTCACGATCGTCTTGCCTTGTAATCGTCGTCTGTTTATCTACCATTCTGTAATTAATTAAATTCGTTAGAGTACCCCAACCGTGCAGCAAATATACGCGTGGGCTATTCCATAGGAAAATAAAATAGCCAACGATATTACCGCCATGCACGGAATATTGGAACAAGACAATAGAAGCTTAAAGTTTCTTTATTTTAATAAAATAATGCATTTAAAAATAATGTCGAAACTAAGTGAGAGCTGAGAATAATGAATGTCAGACACAAAAAAAACCATACAGTAGAATAAGAAATTTTTTCTCGCAAAGGAGATTACAGTGATGGGGTCCTTTTATATTCACTGAAGATATTCAATCTAAATGAAATAAAAATCAAACCAACTTTAATTCTTTTTTTCACCTCAAAAAAGAATTGAGAAAAAATGTTTTAATGTTTTATGTTTTATAAGTCTAATATATATATATAATCATAGTTGTAAAAAATACTTTTAAAAAGTATTTTAAATAATATTCAAATATTTAAAAAAAAATGTATTTAAAATACTATTTGAATACTTTTCATACAAAAGTATTTGAGTAATACTCAATTACTTTACAAAAGTATTTCAAATACTAAGAATACAATTAAAAAATAATAATAATGTTTTTATTTTAACTAAGAGCAAAAGGTTCCACCTAAATAATTACCAAGAGGGTAATTTGAGTCAAATATTGAGTACTCTTAAATTAAGAGAACTCATTTATTATTTTCGATATTTTTT